TTCCCTACTGGCAGGGCATGTACCCTTCACCTCCATCATTTAACTGCTGCCTCTGTTCTAGTGCAGCACCAGCTAGAAAAGCTTCACGCTAGAACTGCTCAGTCATGTCAAATTCTGAGGAGCAAACAAACAAAAAAATGCAGTAGACAAATCCAATCCCACTCATTACTGCTTTGATTATCCTTGTATGTGCCAGCACACATAACATGCTGAGTTTTATTTTCCTTACAGCCTTAAGAGATCCGAGGTACAAACTTACCCATTATTCAGTGGATGAACTGTCTATCAGACTCTCTAATGTAACAGTGCACGATGAAGGCATATATAAATGCTTCTACTACAGCACACCGTTCAAAAGCAAGATGACAACTGTTGAGGTGTTAGGTAAGTTCTCTTCCCTGCTCTATTCTTACAGGAATGGAATAACAAAGCCAGCTCCTCGACTCCAGGATTGCCTTTTTGCATACAACTGTACAGTACTGAGCACAGCACAGTCCCAGTCTCAGCTCAGCCCTCCCAAATAACACTACGTATGCAGTTGCTCATAAAATCAAATAGAAGTACTTACTGCAACTGATCCTAAACCTTCTTCCTGCAGCTGCTCCTTCAAAGCCTGTACTGCAAGCATCCCGAGACACAGAAGGAAGCGTTACACTGTCTTGCTATATCCAAGGATGTAAACCACGACCCCAGGTTACCTGGCTGCTGGATAATGGAATACAGCTTCCCGGTAAGTGCTAAGGGTAATGTAACCATTTCTACTTATCAGCTTTGTTTATTAGTCTTACTTATTCAAGTGTCCACATTTAAAAGTACTGAAGGGGGAAACACAATACCAGACAAGACTCCCACTCATCCTCTTCATTTTGTACAACTCAGGCCTTGGTGGTACAGGTTAGGAAGAAAGTCAGCACCAAATACCGGGGTCTGCACAGGGGAGAAGGCTCACCTGATGTGCTTGTATTCAGTGCAAGAATGACATAACTTGGCACTAAAATCCACTGAGAATCTGGAGTGAGATTCCACTGACATGAAATGAAACCAAAACTCTGACGGCACAATTTGCAAAGCCCAAGCACAAAGTTAGTTAATAAAACCATCATAACTGCTTCCATTTTGTGACTGGTATAGGCTTTCCTCAGCTGTGCTGAGCAGCTCACACCCACATCAGCTGCCCTTTTCTCATTAATCTGTTCAGAGGCAGGTAAGAAGCAAAAACAGAGCTCAAAAAACACACAGCTCACAACCCCCAGCAACAGCTACAGCCTTGCACACATCTAGGTGAACACAGATGAGACTAGTGGATAATAATTAGCTCAATTTAACTTGTGTACAATAGAAACAGCTTGCTTTGAAGGCCCTGTTCCAATAGCTACTACCTTATTAGCTGTAACTGTTGCACAATGGAGAGGAAATACACCTCACTACCAACCTGTGAGGAAAACACCCCTAGGTACAAATGTATTTTCATTCGCATGTTAACAAACTCATTTCTATTTTCTATCATTAACCAATATTTTCATAGTTTAGCATAAAATATTTTCCCCACAGAATAGAGTTCAACATAACAACAGAAAAGCCTGCTGGCCCGAATAAAGCTAGAAATCAAGACTAGAGAGAGAGGGAAAAAAAGAAAGAAAAGCTGTTGAAATCTGCTACTTATAACAGCCCAACACACCACACAGACACCAGATACCCTCCACAACATACATGACCAACTAAGCATCTTTCCATTTAGTTCAGTAAAAGCCTACACTTACCTTCACATTCTACTTGCATCTTGAGAGACTTGTAACACAAACACCAGGAAGACATTAGGACCTACCAGACCAATGAGAGCTACCCGGCCTTCAGCCTCATGTCTTACAAGCAGCTGGGAAATTAAGCATCAAAGGGTTATACAGTGTTTTTTTGATTGGTTTAACTTAGAGGTGGTTTCAGATGAAGGGATATTTGCATGAAGAAGTGCTGATTCACCACGCAGCTTGTTTGTGGCAGATGCAAATTCATGTTTGAATGGAAAAATAAAGTGTTCTAATTCAGTGTCCCTCAAGCTTTCTGCATGTGCTTTTCCCTTTTTGCAGGTAACTACCTTTGAGCAAAAACTCTCTTCTCCCCACACCCAACTCCACGCCATGCTCAGCTTGAATCACTCACTGCAAATATTTATACTAATCAGAAAATAGCTAACAATTTTAATTATTGGCAGCACCTCAGTTGTACCAGGGCACAGCAGGGGCAAACCAGCTGTAATTACTGAGCTGTTGTTGACAATTAAAGATTATTTCCTTTCTAGCAAAAACACATTGAAATCCTTCTAAATCCACGTGTGACCCCATAGGGGACAGAAAAGAGGGCTGTGAAATACCAGTCAGTGTGTCAATGTGATACAACAAATTATCCATAGGGGCTAATTTGGAAAGAAAGAATTTCTTTCATTTAAGAAATAAAGATGTTACCACAGTACAGATAGGGAAACCATTAGGCTTTTTGTCCAGAGAACCTCTACCATAGAAGCAGACAGTCAACATTATTGTGCCTCTGTGGGCATTTAAGGTAAACATCTGAAAAAAAACTTCACCAGAGCAATTCAAACTTTCTCTTTGCATCACATGAAATACATCTTTATCATCCCATGCAACATAAATGAGTAGAATTCAGTACACCTGGAGGACTGAGATCTATGCCAGACATGTCACATAGCTCTCTTTAATTCATTATGCCATGGTGATTTATCTTTGTGTTTCACCTCTCCCAGCAGAGGAAGGGTCTTTTTTAGACCTCGTGTGCTGCAGCAGGTCCTTATGCAACAGGGCCACAGCCACAAGTATGTTCAATAAGGACAAGAAGTGCACACCCACATCAGCTGCCCTTTTCTCATTAATCTGTGCCACACTAGTGGCACATCCCATTGCAGTCCTACAGACTGTATGAGCCCTGCAGCAGGGGAGTTTCCCCACATGAGTCACAGAATAAGCAGAGGCTTTGGGTTGGCTGCAAGAGGGGCAACAGGGCCTGCACTTAGCTACCAAGAAGGAAAACATGACCTTGCTGTCTTTGGATTCCCATGCAATCCATTTACACAGTGAATCACTTGTGCATAGTAATCATGCACTATTTTAACAGAGTGAAGTAATGCAGATTGTGCCTGGAAGGTTTTTCATTAAATTGCTCTTGACTAGAAAGCGCTTCAATGTTTTTTTTTCCCCATGGCTGTGTAGGTGACACCAGGCACAAGTTAGAAGCTGACGGGAAGAAATGGACCACAACCAGCACCCTCACAGTCCTGGCATATGGGCCCAACTCAACAGCAAGCTGCCTTGTTCATCACAAAGCACTGGGAGAAGGAAAGCTGACAGCACTTTTCCAGTTCAAGGATGTTGCCAGAACAGGTACTACAGCACTCTTTGAACAGTAGTTACTGCATTTTAGCACTCAGGTAGAGAAAGTCATGCAGATGCACATGCAAAACTGAAACACGTGGTCTACCACCTCGTGCGTGGAATTTGTTTTTACAAGAGAGAGACAACTGGGGCAAAAGAGGAACTCCAAACTAAGATTTTATGTGAGCTATTTTTCTTTTTCTACATACCTAAATATCCACTGTTGTTTTTCAGTGACAAACACAACTCCTGTGTCAACTACGCTAGAGGTGGATACGTACGTCTCTGAGTATGTGCAGCCTACAGGTAGGCACCAACTGTTTGGCCTTTTTGTAACTAATACACAGATCAGATAACCATAAGATCTATCATAAAGAAATACTGAACAGTGTCTCTATGTAGAGGTTGGACTGCAAAAATTGCTGTTAGCACTGAGGAATATTTTGCACAGTGTTCAGAATTTTGGTTTTTTCCCCAGTGACCACAGCAGAGTCAGATCTGAACAGCAATACAGACTTCTCTCCAAGCTACCCACAACATAATGGTATGAGTTTTACTTTCATTTTTTACTCATTTTATGGTGTTAAATATATTCAGAAGGCAGGGGAACCAAAGGTGGAAAGGAAGGATTATAAATCTAACCACAGCTCAAGATAGGGGACTCAAGCAGCCCAGAACACAAAGAATACCACAGCAGGTTTCATTTCCATGGACTGGGTTCAGTGGCAAAGCGTGACTTCTGATTTTTATCATGTGTTTGAGGGGTTTTCCTCCAGGATCTGAAAAACCAACTATCCCTTCTGCAGTATCAGAGAATCCATTTAGCATTATTTAGCAGCACAGCATCAATGACAGCCCAGTAAAACCTCCAACCAGCTGACACATCTACTTGTAAGTTTAGACTTAGTTGCACGCATTTATCAAACCAAGGCAGAAACACTACAGAGAACAGCACTATAAGCCATCTTACACACATATGACTCAGAAAAGCAGCATTTCTTGCTTGTGAGGGAAGCCCTCCATTTCACAGCCATAAAAGCAGCCAAGCTCTCTCCCGTCAGATGCAGCACAATTACATTCCCATTGGCAGCAGCCAGATTTTCTGCTCTCCTGGAGTGTCAGGAAGGCACCGTGCGAGCTGAGATTTCTCCGCGTGGTTGCACTAGGTGGCACTGTGCAACAAAGATTATCAGTGCATATAGACGGGCGAAAATTGAAGCTATTCTACAGGAGAACTGTTTCCAAGAGGAGAATGAAGAGCTGCACCGCACAAATTGCTTGACCCAAACCCACCAAAGCAGCACCCACATCTGCTTAGTGTTACAGAGCAAGCAGTGAAAAGTCAACTGTTTTAGAAAAAACTCTTTGTATTTGTTTAAAAGTGCTATGTCAGTGGTTACAAACTTCACAGCATGGCTACATCCTGTTGATAAACAATTCTATGAGTAGTAAGAGGGAGCATGAATCTTACAGCACAGTGTGCTTATGTACCTGCTAAGAAAGGAAAGGAATGTAAAGTTTTGGCAGATGCAGCATGCGTTACCATTTCAGTTCTACAAATCAAAGTTAATTATCCCAAAAGATATTGCCTACATGTGTAAGGAAGTCAGAACCTACCTCTCTTGTTTCTTCAGGGCCTGGAGCAACATCAGCTGCAGCAGGAGAGCTGTCTGGTACCTCTGCTCATCACATCCCTAACGGTATGTTGCATCATCAGACATGCTGTGGTGATGTCCCCACCGCTGCCATTCTCTCATGCTGGGTGATTACACTTCTGAAAGCTATAAAGACAGCAAAAGTTAATCTTAGATAGGAATATAAGAAAATATCTGCTTTAAGGAAAAAATAGCTGCCTATTCTTGTATTTGCAAGCAGGCAAAGTAAAGTAAGGGAAGGGAAAAGTGCAAAAAAATAATGAAGCTCAAAGCTCACCCTCCTGTTAATTTGTCTGTAAATGAGAATTACTGAGTAAGATACTCTGAGGATTTTCTGTTCATAAAGCTTATGTAGTATTTATTAAAAAGAAATACTGGGTTAAGGAAGTGAACATGGAGTTTTTGAGTTAAGAGCTCCAGAAGTCTCTTTCTGCTACATTATAAGGTGTCCTGGACTTCAAACCTGTTGGAAAAATACAGAATTTTCAAGCATTCCTTGGCCCTTCTTAGAAATACCACTCTTTTCATCTCTCCAGGCACTGAAACAGCACCCAATGGCACAGTCACAGAGCAACTTTTCAGGACAGAAGCCTCCTTCCCAAGTGAAAACGTAACTCTGACTTCCACTGTCACCTTTGGTAAGAACTCCTAAATACTCTTTAGATTCAGCTTCCAAACATGCAGCTTTCTAACACCCAGCTGATTCTTCCTGACCAGGCATGCACCTCCAAAGCTGGCATCAGTACACTAGAATAATACTGACTTGCAGTCTTGGGGAGATACTACAGAAATGCAACCATTTTTACAATCTAGAAAAAAGCTGAATGTTACCATTTGTTGTGCTAGGGCTAAGTCTGCTGACTTCAATTAGTTTTTCATACAATTAGAAAAACAGCTGAGCTTGTGTCTTAAAATTGAGCCCAGCAAGGTGTATTCTGCTCTCCCACCATGCTGTTCCAGCCTGGTCTAGGATACATCATTCTTGTTTTAATAACTAGAAACTCTCAGGAAGCTCTTTAACAACCCAAACATACATCTGCCTCTTTTACAGAGCAAGACGTGAAATCTGAAGGCATGAGTAAGAAGAAGGATTTCCTGCTGCCACTCTTGGTGGCAGTTCTCATTGTCACGCTGCTCATCATCGTAGTGCTTTTTACATGGAAGCTGAAAAAAGCTCATGGAGTTTGGAAGAGAGGTGAGTGATGGCACTGTTTGAGTAACTGCTTTATTTCAGAGGGGCTGAACAGCTGAGGGGCTCCTTGAGAGGAGATAAGACACAGCTCCCTCTGCTTAAACATATGTCTACAGACAGTAGCTGTGACTTGTTGCAAACAAGCTGAGGATTCCCCTGTAACCAGTGGCCTCAGATCAATCTTCACTCTACACAACTCAACCACATTGTTTTCTTAAGCATATCCCTCGTGACTGACCAGAATTATTGCACTCTACTTTTGTGCCCTCAAAAGACCAGGATTTTTATATCCAAGGAAGAAAGTGAGGAAGAGTCATGGGAAAATCTTAATTATATTTGATTTTTGCACAGAAAATGATACTTCAGACCAGACTTTGGAGAGTTATAAATCCAGATCTAACGAAGAAAGCCCAGGCCATGAGAAGAACAGAGAAGGTAAAAAGTTTCAACCAACATAAATTGATCTCTGCCAGATAAACTGTTGCTATTGACCACTGCAGAAGCAGATTGCTGCCCCCCTTACTGCACAGAGACACTTCCAAATTGCACACTGTAAACTGGAATATTGCAAAATCAAGCCTTTCCTATCCTGAGGTCTACTTCAGAGATTGCAGCTTCAGCAAGGGTGACACAGAGCTGTACAAAATTAAAATTATTGCCTTTTTATTAAATAGTTTTGATTAGATAATCCCAGTGGTTTTCTCTAAATTTAATTTGATGGAATGCTGTTCAAAGCATTATCAGTGGTGCTTAATTCAACTACTGCTAAACAGTCCTGAATATCCTGGGTGTTTCATCATTCTATAACACTATCATTAATATATATCATGCAGGTGCTTCCTCCTTTATAAAATCAGTAATAAATATGTATTTGACTTTCAGTCATCAATCAGAAGTCCAACGTGCAGTATGTAACAGAAGGATATGTGGAAGCAACACAGAAGAATCCAAGTGAGAAAAACACTACAATACCTGAGGAACGGTTTGCATGTGGAAAAGAAACAGATGTATAGCAAAGGCTATAAAACGTACAGAAACAGCACTGTTTTCTGGTATTTATGTTTCAGCATTCACAAAGCAGTATGATTTCAGGGAGCAGACATACAAACAGTTACCTGAAATCCCAAAGACAATTTGGATTGTTTTCCTCTGAAGATTGGTAGATAGGGACAGTGCTCCTACATACCTGTTCATACGTATGAAGACCAACCTAGCTGCAGTCCTCAAAGGATTTAATTCACAGTTGGACTACGTGATTTTCATGATCTTTTCCAACCTTTATGATTCCATGATAATCAATCACTGCCAGAAATACAGGTCCTCAATCCACCCTAATTGCTATTAAGGGCCTGGCAAGGGAATATGCAATTAGTCCCAAGGAACACGGGATATGCAGATAGTCATGCACCACTTCTGCCACTTCCCCTGCAAGCACAGGACTGACCAGGAAACACTGGGAGATGGAAACCAATCGGGACTTCTAATATCTCATTCTGACAACCAAACCTGGGCACCCAGCTGTATTTAGCCAAACATCCTGATGTCAGAGGCGTTTAAAAACAACATGGCTGTCCTCTATGAAAATCTTGAGTTGACAAAGGAGAAGAGGAACCGCATGGTGGGACTCTGCAACCCAGGGGTGCATGCACTTGCCTGTGGTGGGGAAGCTGTGAGAAGCAGCAGGACATTCCCTCTTCAGAGCAACTCAGTGATGTCAGCAGGGAGCCCTTCTTCTACAGGAACCTCGTGCTGTGGTTCTGTAAGGCACAACCAGGCCTTTACGTGGAAAAATGAAAACATTACTTCATTTCAGGAGGTTGTGGATGCCCCATCCCTGCAGGCATTCAAGGCCAGGCTGGATGTGGCTCTGGGCAGCCTGGTCTGCAGGTTGGTGACCCTGCACACAGCAGGGGGTTGGAACTGGATGAGCATTGTGGGCCTTTCCATCTCAGGCCATTCTATGATTCTATGATTTTTAACCTGGGTGGGTAAGCAATTTGTATACGAACCCAGATCTACCTGGCGGCTCACAGGGCAGAGCCCGGGCCGGGAACAAGCACCAACATCAAGTGTTTGCTTTGCACGTATGAAACATACTGAAAAAACTGCCTTTGCAGATGCAATCTGTGCACAGGAAGCACAGCCCTCCCTTCGGCTGCTCCCCTCAGCGCCCCGCGTTCCCGCGCCCGCTGCACGCCAGGGTCCCGCGATCGAATCCCGCGCTGCCACATCGCTCTCCCATAACGCCCACGGCACCGTTTCACCTCAGCAGGCGGCAACCATCGTTCTAATAAACCAACCTGATATTACCACAGCCTACCTGTCGGCTTTTCGAGTGTTTTTATTTCACCACAGGGAACGATCTGACTTCTCGCTCCCCAGCCTGGGGTCCGCACCCCGGGCGCGCTCACTTCATCCCCCCCCCCCCCCGCCCAGCACTTGGTAGGTGCCGCGCCGCGTCCTCCGCCGTAACCATGGCGACGGCGCGGCCCAGCCCACTGCTGCCGGGGGGGGGGAGCAGCGTGGAGACGGGCTGCTCCCAGCCCACCCTTAACTCCGCTATCCGGTCCAGGGTTGCAGATGATTTAGGACGGCTTTAATGCAATCATAATGGAAGGAAACTAACCAAGAAGTGTTCGTGTGCTTTTCACTGCCTTGCGCCAGCCTAAGGAGTTGGGTAAAGGGAGCACGCACCGCTTCTTGTACCTCTCTGCAGCTGTCAGCTGGCTCTTTGCCTTTGTTTTGCTTTGTTTTAGCTCTGCTTTCTTTTCCACGATCTGTTTCGTGCATGATTAGCTTTGTTACCAGTAATACATCACTCTAAGGCAAATTTCATTACGAAGTCACGCATTCCTTGATATTAACTGGAACACCCATGCCATGGGGGAGGATAAACAGTTTTAACTGTAGGTCACTGCCACAACTCCTAACTAACACAAACATCTCCGACTGCGTGGCCTCTTTGGTTCACTTCCCTGTTTTCCAAACGCAGGGTTGGTGCAAACCATCGGTGTCCAGCACAGCATGAACGCCTCCGATACGGCATACGTTACAGTTTCTTCTCCATATACTTTCCACGTGAGTAACGAATGCTTTCCTCAGAGTGAGCTCACGCAACCAGGCTTTCATCCCGCAAGTTGGAAAAGGCCACCTGCAAGCGAAGGGAGCGTTGGCTCAGAGCTGCGCGACTGTCAGGACTCCGATTCTGAAAGCCTTGCTCTGGAAAGGCAGTATCAGTTAGAACTCCAGCAACGGATCCGTGCTCACGACGAGCTGGTAGGACTGAGTGCTGGGGAGCTGGAGGATGACAGCTTAGAGGAAGAAGATAGCTTGGAGAAGACGAGTTCAGAGGAGCAGGAAGGAGCTAAGCATGACGCAGTGCAGTGTACAGACAGAGTACGAAAGAAAGAGAGCGATGGAAGGTAAGGCATAGGTTTTCAGTAGATGAGCATGGTTGATCTAAACCTTTAAAGCCTCAGGATACTTGTTACCTCTTCAAAACCAACTCAGATCACCAAAGTGCTATGAAGGACACCCAAGGACCAAGTTATGTGCATGACTATGTGTCTTATCCACATTCGTTATCATTATACCCATTTCTCAGCTGTCGATCACGTCGGCTAAAACACCAGCGCAGGAGGTTAAGATGGAGAGAAAACATCCCTCACCGAGTTCACAGAATCACAGAATTGCCAGGGTTGGAAGGGACCTCAAGGATCATGAATCTCCAACCCCCCTGCCTCATGCAGGGCCACCAACCATCCCACCTAATGCTAGACCAGGCTGCCCAGGGCCCCATCCAATCTGGCCTTGAACACCTCCAGGGACGGGGCATCCACAGCCTCTCTGGGCAGCTGTTCCAGCACCTCACCACTCTCTCTGTAAAGAATTTCCCCCTGACATCCAACCTAAATCTCCCTTCCCTCAACTTAAAACCATTTCCCCTTGTCCTGCTGTCAATATTGTCAATAATGTCAAGTTCATAGGCTCTAGGCTCTGCATACAGATGTTCCTACTACAAGCCCTTTCATTTCTGTCTAAAACAGGCAAGCAGGAAGGTAGGAGGTGGCAAATGGTTTGTGTGGCATTTTTGAGAACAAGGGTGAGAGGATTTCTGGGGCTGGAATTGGGGAGAAAGAAAAGAAAACACAGAGAAAACACATCCTCCTTTCATTTCCTGCAAAAAGATCCATGCTGAGCAAACTAGGTCACTGTCTGTAAGAAAACATAAAGGCAAAAGCTGATAGGTTGAAAAAACAGTTTTGCTCTTAAAACTGCATAAATCTAAAATTAAGTGTTACCATCATTAAACATTCTTTAGGAAAGCATTAACTTGCTACATAAATAAAATCAAATTTGCTGTCTTATGCATGAAAGGTTTAACACTATAAATTGGGAATAATTCTCAAGTTTATAGGGATTAAATTAAACCTGAAGTAATAATAATGTGCAGTTTCAATTTAATTGTCTACTTAAAATAAAGTGGCAAACAAATGAAGACTAAATGATTAATAGCATGCTTTTATTCACGTCCTCAACAGGCAAAATGGCCAGTTACCGAACATTTTATTGTGAGTGCAAATGATGTTAATTGTACTAGAAACATGCTCTAATTTTTAGTAATTTTTTTGACTGAATACTGTGCTGAATGTGGGGCTCTTCATTAAATGGAAATTTGATTTTATTTTGTTTGAACTTAGCCTAGCAAGTACTCAAATACAGTCCATTAACCAGAGCAAATATCACAGCATATGCATATGAACCCCCCTCTCTACATCCATTACTAACCTCGGAATTTGAAGAGGAAATGCTGCATCTGTTGTCTGTGTACCACACTTTTGTTGATGAGTACAGAGTCCATCTAACCTTTATATCAAGTTGGGGGGAGGAATAAAAGGTGCACTTCTTGTCTGCAGATGATTAGAGATGAAGGAGCTCTTCACGCTCATTTTGTTCCCGTATGGTGACCTGGCCTGCATAATCCTGTTGAGCTGCTGTGCACACATTTCAGCACAATAGAACTCTCTAGCATTATACTCTGTTATTTGAATCATTACAATTATATCAAATATTCCTATATTCGTTTCAAAATATAGCCACCTATTTTTGCTTACCTGCAGTGTATGACAACTACAAATAATAATGTTTTCACTGGTGTAAATCATCTCCAGTATACAGGATACCATCATGCTTACCTGAAATGAAAAGCACTGCTAGAGAAACAGATTTTTTTATTAACTTAGAAGCCTCTTGAAATATTGATATATACTTAACCAGTCGAGAAAGAAGGAATAAATGATTTGTAGAAGTGTTAATATGATTGGCTGTGCTGCAGTTTAGAAAATTCAGCTTAGCCAGTCATTATTGGTTCTACTGAGATTTGAGGGTGGAATCTTAGCAGGTACATCACTTTTGTTTTACAAAAAGTGTTCCCTATTTAAAACAGAAACATAAAACTATGTACAAAACACAGTCTGTGTTTTGTAGGTGGCATCATCAGAATGGAAACAGTTTTATCAGTTGTTTTATCTTTTAGCTGATTCTGCTAGTGCTTATAATATCCGTGCCAAATTTAGGATCAAGGTTGTATACCACTGTGATCTGAATGTTAGGCCAATTAATCATTCACTGATAATGGAAATTAAAGATTTAAAGGAGGTCCTGCCTACATTTTATACTCAAACATGTTTGATAAAACTGTTCTGGTCTTGGTCCCACAGCTGGCAACCCCTGGTGTGGTTGGTTGTGTTTGCAGAACACTTGCAGGCTCAAATTGTACACTGAGAAATGTAGAATGTATGCAATTTATACACGAATAACTTTATGTTTCTGTTTTAAATAGGGAACAGCAGCCTGTAGACAAATATTTCAGCCTAAAGTACAATCCTAACTGGAAGAACACAAAAGAAGCAGTGGAATTTTCTGAAGTAGAAAAACACCACGTTGCTGAAGGAGGCAGTGTGGACCTTTCCCAAGATTCATTTTACCTCCATTCCAGTGTCTCCTCGGGAGAAAAGAATCAACAGGAGGCAAAGTTTCAGGAGTCATTCTCTGAGTTTGGTACAGAATTACTGAGCTTTCATGAGCCAAATGCCTTCGTCTGCAGTGAACCTTTTAGGTTACATACCAGAGGGGATGAATCTTCAGATGGCTATTATTTCAAAGATAGTCTTAGTACATACAGCAGTGCTTTTTCTCTTCAGATTCCAGAAGATCGACCTCAAAGAGCAAAAAAAGACTTTGTGGAAAAAAACAAGCGGACTTTAGGGTTGCGTACAGACAAGAACAAATCCTATCTTCAGTTACATGGCAAAAAGCAAGAAGTTATTCAAGAGCAGGTAGGTAACTTTGGCAAGTTCTAACTGCTATAAACCAAAGTCTGCTGTTGAAGTAGGGTATCTGTATGGTCTTACAGGTTTGCGTGAGGCTATCATGCAACTTAGAACTTAACAATTTCCTATGAGAATCTGATTCACCTGTTGGTGCTACATATATTCCTGGCCACAAAGCATCTGCATCATCGTGGAGGCAACCTCTGAATATTCCTGAAAGAAATGCTGTCTTCTTTCCTATAGATTCTACGTCATACCTTATTTTTAGGAGCATCAGACTTTCCTCAGCTTGGCTGACATGGATTTGATAATACACTGCTTTCAAGGGCTTATCACTGTCATTTAGTGTCACACATTTAGGAGTATCCAGAAAAGATGTGAATTTGATGGTCAGGCAACCCATTACCCTACTTGCTTTCTCACCCAGACCAAACCTGGTATTTGGAATCAATCAGTAAGTACTTGTAATATGTTGTAATTGGGTTGCAAGGGCTTGGCCTTCTTATGATTGACTGTGAAATGTCAAACACTGCATTAAGGATTAAGTGGAAATGTAATAACAGTTCCTAATGAACAATTATACAAGAGTCTGTTGCTTTTACTTGCTGCACATTATGCATAATGACAATATGGAAGTCACTGAATCACTCTATGAGTTACAGGGCAGAAAATCATTCACTTGCAAAACTAGAAACTTGTGACACATTTTTTTTTTGTGGCTAATGAGTGGTTGACACAACACTAGAGGGCATCTGCCGACTGTATTACAATGAAAGCAACAGTGGACGTGCTCTTTTCTCTCGGAGCTGTTAAAAGCCCTTGTTTTTTTCAGTTATAATTTACTTGATGGTAAAAAATAATTAGCATAGATGGCTGCTAATTAAAGTTGTGTTGATATGATTATGTTTACTATATGGGGAATTCTTAAAATGATTCATACGTAAGTATTGGAGCCAGGGATCAGGACTTTGTAGCGTAGATGCTTTCAGAAGGCTGTGTAGTAGGAAAAAACAACAGCAACAACAACCCCAACACTGCTAAAATCAGGACTGTATGCCAAAATTACCTTGCTGAGGTAGCCATCAGCCTACAG